TGATTATACAGGCACCCTTCCCCGGGGAGCACTGCCAGGCCTGGTGGATCCGTGTCGCCCGCTGTCTGAATAAGCGTGTGGAATTGTGGGGCTGTGGAATAACTCAAACAACGTTATGTACTGATAACGATCTTTAGATTGTTTTCCCGGCCCCGGCCTCTGGCAGGCCACCTTGCGGCTGTAGAGGGCCGTGCCTTTGCAGCCACAGAATGAAATGGAAAAGGCGGCAGGCCCAGTGGGAGGGCAGGCCTGGCCGTAGAGTGCCGAGTTCGGGGAGGCTGCTGTGCTGGGGCGCAGGTTTGGCAGCTTGAAGAGTTGAGCGCGTGCGGAGAGTCGTGGGCGGGAAGGGAGGGAGAGAGGCAGAGGTTGACTGCAGTGACCTGGAAGACCCTCGGGAAGTGGGACCCAGTTCCCAGCAGAGCCTTTCTTCCTCCGAAGAGATGGCAGTGTTGGGTTGTGTTAGGCAGTGTTCAGGTTGTGAGGTCGGCCAGCGGGCGCTGAAGGGAAAGGTTGTCAAATTCCTGATAGTTGCTCTGTACCTAGGGAAAAGAGAGCTGGTCATTAATATCTTAATACCTTGTGGGTGAAAGTAATCTTTGCAACTGAGAGTAAAGGTGTGGGCCAAGGGTATTCTTAGAGTATCTACCAAGTACAGCTCAGCTAACCAAGTGAATCGAATTCGGAAACTCGCTTTTAAAAGTACACCCTCCGTCCCAAAAAGAGCTTCGCCAAAGTGCAACAAAATACAGTTGTGCCGCCCGTAGGAGACTTTTTGGTACCTCGAGGACCATGTCACCACACACTTCGGTAGCTCCCAGTAACATTTCTTTAGAGAGCATCAATTAGGTTGTTTGCAACCTGTATTCACCAGCCTGGGATCTTCGGCTCCTTCCCAGACCTGTATGAACGAGTGTTTCATTGGAAGCTGGGGGGCGGGGGGCGCGGGGGTGCGGTACTGTGGGTTGGGGGAGAGAGATCAAACTGAATGCTCCGAGAACTAGAAGGTGCTGTCTTTTCTACCCCGTTGGCGTGCTGGTGACCTTTCCGACCTTTTACACGAGATGGTTCCACAACAGACCCAAGCCTCTGATTTCTTGATCAAGGACCTCAATCTGTGGCCGAAATATACAATCTTGGCTAGGAGCCAGAGTCAATAGTCCAGGGATGTTCTCAAGGAAGAAACAGAAATTACTGCCTTTCGACAAGCAAACTTTTTCCTTCTGGAAAGCAGAGCGTTTCTGAGGGTCGCCAGGGTAAGTTTTTTGCACTTCCTCAAAGCCAGACCACTTGCTGGGCTCGGCTGCACTTGAAAAAGGCGAACGTTCGACCCTATTGTCAGGCCTCAGCCCCCTGAGCGGCACCGATACGCACCCACCCGATCCCACCCAGCACGCAAACAGCACCTCTTCTAAGAGATTGTGTCCTAATCTAGCTGGAGACCCCGAAAAATGTCCCCCATGAGCAGTTGCTGAGGAGGAATCAACGTGGGCATGCCCGCGATAGTGATGGGACAGTCCCTCTCCTGCTCTGCTTTCTCCCAGTAGCTCGAAGGCACAACTGCTAAAAATGTACTTTGCAGATATGAGGCCCTTGGGACACCTGATTTCTGCCAAGGCTCGAATCTGGAAAAAGGCAGAGTGGGAGAGCCCTATGCACCCGGAGCCCGCCGGGCCAACCACGCTAAAGCCTGGGTTCCCTGAGTTTTGCGATAACCAGTCCTCTAAGGATGAGCACCACTTCTGCCCCTCGGCGAAGCCAACTGCCTCTCCTTGGAGGGTTGGGGAGACCTCGAAGCCCCGGAGGGCCGGAAGGGGCGCCTCTGGGTGAAGTTTCCAACCGGAGCCAACAAACGGCGCTGTTGCCCCGCCCTGGTCCTGGAAGCCCCAGGCCCAGCCCGAGTCGGAGGGAGCTGGAGCTTTCTTGGGAGGGCGGGGGGAATGGGGAGGGGGTGGTTGGCTGGATTCCCAGCCCGCCATCCGGGACTCTGTATGCCGCCCACGGGCTCCCAGAGGCCCCAAAGGGCGAGAGAGCTGCCGAACACCTTCTCCGGGAGAGGTTGGAAAGGACTGATCCTAGATCCCACTGTGTCCCTCCGCTTTCCTCACTGGGTGCAGGGTGCGTGTCGGAGGCACCGATTCGGCTCCGCCGGCCGTCTTGCCTCCCCGCAGCCCCGCGCCTGAAGCGAGGCCCTTCAGGTCGTAGTACCTGCCGCAATACTTCTCCCGACCCCCAGCGAAGGTCGCGCCGCTCGGCTGCCTGCACCTTCACTGCTAGCGGGCGAAGAGTAACAGGTTTCTTTCCAGCCTGCCTCCCATCTCCCCACGCCCGTAATGGTAACCTTGCTTGTGTATTGAAAAGGTAGTTTGGGTTGAGGACGTTTCCTCGGAAATGTTTCTAAGGAAATTCGGCGTGACTCTTACTTGGGGCTGTGCAGACCATCCCAGAGCCACCAGGCAGCGAGACTGGTTTAATCACGGCCTCTGAGGGAAGCCAGGAGTGTGGGAGAGGGTGTCTGATCCTGGCGAAAACGACTCCCTCACGTAAATCTGGCAGAAGGATGTAATATGAAAATAAGCTCACCTAAACCGCGGGCTAGGCGTGATCAAATAACAAACAGCTGGGGGCAGTGACTAGCTCCCCAGATAATCTGCTGCGGGGAGGAGCGCAGGCCCAGCCCCGCATCCATTGCCTTGGGAAATATGCAGCCCAGGCGCTGTCACCACAACGGCTTACTTGGGTCCTAAAACTTGGAAAGAATCCTGACATCTGTCAGGCTACTGGACGCCAGGCCGCGCGTCGGTTGGGTAGTTTCCTAAAACGCGCTTCACTTAGCAACAGCCCCGGAGGCCCAGAGAACCCGAGAGGGCATCTGGAAAAGGCGGCAGGAAGGCTACTGCACATTGACTTCTTTGGGAGAAGGTGGGTTTGCCTAGGGAAATTTGACTTTGTCAGCCAGTTCGCCAAGAAAACAGGTGCAGGTGGGGACTGCCGAATCATTCCGTTTTCTGAGCCATGCATTCCAGTCCGTGTCAGCTTAAGTGTACACACCCGCGCGTGCGCGCGCGCGCGCACACACACACACACACACACACACACACACACACACATATAAGACGCATACACAGAACCATTCCAGATCGTTTACTTTAAAACCCTAAATCCGTACACCCATTCAAATGATCGCAGTCCTTGGCTGTGGACATTTGCTTCCTTCCGTCCTGAATGAGCAAGAGAACGTAGACCAGGTGGAACCCAAAGTTAAGGGGCTGGTTTTGAGACCTCAAACTTCCAGGAGATGATGCCAGCTGGCAGCCGGGATTGTGGTGCCAGCGGTCCGCCCCAGAGCGGGCTGGCCTGCTCTATGTCCCTCAAGCCACAACAGCATACTTTCAGCTTCGTTCAGGAAAGGGGTAAGCTCCTGGCTTGCAGGCGTCCCAGGATCGCCTGGTCTTGCATTAGCGCTAAGGAGCTAAAAGCCTAGGGTTTTGTAAATTTTTTTTCACACTTAGGATTTACGCCTTTCTTTTGGTTCTCCACCTTTCCACGAGGCTGGGGGGCGCGGGGGGGGCACATCGCGCGGACACCTTATTTCAGTCTCTGCCACTTCTGCCTGGCTGGCTTCTCCTTCCCGCCCGTCGCCTCAGGAGGCTCTGGGAGTCTCAGACGCTGTGCCACCCGTTTGGGCTGGCTGAGGCGACTGTCGGAGTTCCCTCTCCCCGAAGCCAGGGTTCCTGCGTCGCTAGTCTTTGTCAGACAACCCGACATGTGGGTGAGTGTCCTGCTCCAAGTCTCGAGGCTCCGTTCAGGAAGGCTGTAAAACAAAAAAAGAGAAGGACGGAATCCGTTAGCAGAGCCTGCTCCCCGGGGAGGCGGCGCGGCTGCGCGGCGAGAGCAGCGCTCAGTGGTCCTGGCAGGTGCACGGCCAGTGGAGGGGGCCCGGCGGTCCGCCCCGAGGACGGCCTCAGCTCCTCTCCGGCCACCGTCCCCCCCTCCAAGAAACTTTTCTTTCACTTGGAGAGGCTCCGTGTTGCCATGAAAACGGATTTTCCAAGTGGCCCGACCCTCCCCCTCAGGGGCATCGGACTGGAAAAACCGAAATGGCCAGAGAGCAGAGACAAAAAGGGGCCGCTAAGCGGGGGCCTGGAGGGAGAGAGCCGAAGCCGGTTCACCCCCTCCACCCCACACACACTCCCCGCACCACCGCATATGAGCGCCTTCGCCCGTCCCCGGCTGCGGGTGGCTAAAGGCTCGCGCTCACACAAACCACCGGAGAGCCTCACAGCCCCCGTGCGCTCCGCGGTCCCGAAGCTTGTGTCCCTTGTCCCGGTCCCTGACCACCGCTCAGTCCTGGGCGCGCTGGCCCGCGGCTTCCCGGCGGAGGGTCCGGTTGGACAAGGGCCGATTCCAGGGAGGGCTTCTCGGAGCCGCAGCCCGCGGCACCTCCGTTGCGCCCTGAGTGCCCAAGCCCGCCTGAGTAGCTGGCGATGCCCAGTGTCCTTAGCGCTGGCAGCAGAAGCGGTCGTAGGACTTCTGCGCAGACAGCGGGAGGCTTTACAGGGTGGCCCCGGGACCGGGCGCCGCTTGCCCTGACAGGGCTGCAAAGTTTTTTCCTGAACCCCGTGGGCGCCCCTCGGCCCCCTCCCCCCCAAGCCTCCTCGCGCGCCCCCTCCCCCCTCCGTCGCCTCCTCGAGTTTCGTTCTTTCAAACTTTTTGAGACCCTAATTGGTGGTCTCTGAGCGGCTCTCCGGGACTCCCGCCTCCTGAATAACTCTCATCACGTCACCGGGCCCAAGAGGGGCGTGGGGGTGAACCAAAGGGCTCCCCGAACTTTTTTTCTCCAGCGAGGCCGAACGGGGGCTCGGTGATGATTGGCCAGGGCGCATCACTGCTAGCATGTCAATCACGGGGCCTCCTGGTGGCGAGGGGCGGACCGAGCCCCAACCCTGGGGGAATCCGAGCAGGTATATAAGGGGCCCGGCAAGCGCCCGGCCAGACTGCGAATGCAACCAGCTCGAGGCAACGCGTCAGGTGCGAGTAGCCTGCGGGTTCCTGTCGACTTAACGCGGAGCACTTCGGCAAGCCTGCCTTTCCCGCCCGATCCGCTGGCCCACCGGCCCCCAAGCGCCCCTCCGACGGAGTCCCCAGGCCTTTTCACGGTGGCAGCTCCAGCCCCAGGAGCGCCTTCTCCTCCCGCCACTCTGGCGCACCTTCTTCCCGCCCCAGCCATGTACAGCCTGCTAGAGACGGAGCTCAAGAATCCCGTCGGGCCACCCACCCCAGCGGCAGGCGCGGGCGGCCCCGCGGCCCCGGGAAGCGCAGGCAAGAGTAGCGCGAACGCAGCCGGCGGCGCGAACCCAGGCGGCGGCAGCGGCGGTGGCGCGAGCGGCGGTGGCGGGGGCAGCGACCAGGACCGCGTGAAGCGGCCCATGAACGCCTTCATGGTCTGGTCCCGCGGCCAACGGCGCAAGATGGCCCTGGAGAACCCCAAGATGCACAACTCTGAAATCAGCAAGCGCTTGGGCGCCGACTGGAAACTGCTGACCGACGCCGAGAAGCGGCCGTTCATCGACGAGGCCAAGCGACTGCGCGCCGTGCACATGAAAGAGTACCCGGACTACAAGTACCGGCCGCGCCGCAAGACTAAGACGCTGCTGAAGAAGGACAAGTACTCCTTGCCCGGCGGCCTGCTGCCCCCCGGCGCTGCC